GGGCGGGAAGGGAGAACAAGTGGAAAGAACGCTTGTGTGGCCTCTTAAAACCACAGACAAGACACTTTCATTAAAAATAAAACCATAAATAGGCTTCTGTAGTTTTCAACTGTTTGTGTAAGTCTGGGAGTCCTGCAAGTCCCTCCTGCCTTCATCAGCATGGCTAGAAGTCCTCACACACTGCATCCTGCGGCCTCCTTTCTGGGGGAGCCCTGGACCAGCCTGAGAGGACAGCTCGGGTCTCGGCGGCCGCAGGGAGCCTGCGCGTCGGCGAGGCCTGGGCTCCTCATGGTGCGGACAGCCATGGTCATTTCATTTTCGTAGGCTCACACACTCACACATCACTTTGTCAAGGGTGTAAGCCAATATAACACCAGCTTTCTTTTCATAATCACATAGCACTCAACAAGTCTGACTGACCTGCAGCAGTGAGCTTTCCAAGGGCAGGGATGGGGGCCTCTATTTCTGTACCCCCAGATACAGCAGACAGCAGGAACCCCACAAACACGTGGTGAATGGATAAAGGAATTTCTGACAGTGCCTCAGGCTCATCGTTGCAAACATAGCTTAGAGATCACTGCACGGACCTGTTGGTGGCAACTCAGGATTCCACAGGAATCAGGTTTCACTGTATCAATTTAAATATTTCATATATTTATGAATGTTTTATTAAAATGCCCAGGTTTGATGAGACAGATATGCAGAAACTAAAGTGTGGCCTATTTTAAAGATACTGTTCTCTTCTAGTCTGACACTAATCAGAAAGCTTTTATGAGCATTCTTATTACCCTGAAGCTTCTTTTGAACATATTTTTAGTGACAGTCTCATTTCTGCATCAACCGATTCAACCTCTTCCTGACTTTGTCATTAAAACTAATTTTGATTCTCCCTTTCTTTCTCTACAGACAGAATATATACTTAAAACTTACAGCGGTGTCATCATTAAGCTGGGTTTATTTTGAGTCGATGAGATCCGACCAGGCTAGCCCCTCTCCAACATCAAAGTAAGTGCAGATCATATATTATGTCTTCTAGCCCTATACTGAAGAGAGAGGGGAAAAAACATTTATGCATCAGACCTGCCTTTATCTGTTCACTGCCTTTTATTGTTATTCATTAGAAAGCTAGGGTTTGATGCAAATTAAAACAGAAATTCCAAAGGTTAGCTCTCTTGTTCCCTGCTCATAGAAACAGGAAGGATGGGATTCTAGACTCAAGGCAAACTTTACAGCCCTTTCTAATCAGCCAGACACTATATAACAAAACCTAACCCTTGGAGGCTTGAGGTGATAATGATGAAAGAGCCTTTAGAAACAGATAAAACTTTATGCCAGTGTGAATCCCAGGGAAACCTGATTCTCCTGGGCTGTTCTTTGAGGGCTTCTTTTGGTGGTTTAACATGTCTGCCCTCCAGCCCTAAACACTGCCCCAGAGAGTTCCACCCTAACCCCAGCCTAAGCGGGACACCCCCTTACTTAACCCTCTGCCTTGTTTGGGTCCCTCTCTGAGATTTCACATGTTCACCAGTCAGTAGCTGGCGCCCGACTCCCTGCCCGCAGGGTCACCGGATCCCGGCTCCTGGCAGGATGCCTGCAGCTCTGAAGGCGCCCCGTAAACGCCGGCCGGGGGACGGGATGCACCCACCCGACAGCTGCGGTGAAGGGGTTTGCGTCTCAAGACGCCCTGGGCTTATTGATCTTTCAGCGCGTCTTTTCCGAGTGCCTAACCCCTAAGAATGATTCTAGGCGCTAAAGATACACTAGGAAACAAAACAGAAAACCAATGCCCCTTCTCTCACAGAACTTGTATTTCGGTGCAGAGAGACAGGCCGTAAGGTAGCACAATGAGTAAACAAATTATGTCAGGAGGTGAGTGCCCCGGAGAAGCAGCAAGCAGAAGCGGGGGCCGGGGGCCGAGGCGGAGCTGAGCGCCCGGCTCAGGCGCCGTGAGCTTGCTTTAAGGCTGGCCTTCAGCTTACCAGAGAATCTTCAGACTTACCTCCTTTGAATCTCACGTGACTCCATGCGCCGTCACCACGTGTAGAAGGACAGTACTGGGTGTCGGGAGCCTCTGGCACATGCTTCCTTTGACCTGAGCCACGTATGTGAATCTGGTGGAAAAAAAATCCTTCTGGGCCTCAGTTTCGCCATCTGCAAAGTGAGAAGATCAAACTAAACTCTGAGACCCTTTCAGCCCTGGAAGTGTTTTAATGACAATGTGGAACTTGACTTGAGTCTTGTGATCCTGGGAAACAAAGTCAAGAAACACCCCTTTCGTGCTGGGGGAATGGCTTACCTCCAGCCCCTCCCCAGGTGGCCTGGGTCAGAGTCACGGATGCTCAGCTTGATTTCCTACAACACTGCCACTCACAGACCTTCCAGAGTCCCGTCTTTGCCTCGTAAGTGCTTAGCGGGACGCTGGTCCTCCCTGATCCGTCAGGACAGAAGGCTTGTTAACCGAACCGTGGCGCAGACCCTGTCCTCCGGAACTCCGGCTCAGCCCCAGCCTGAGCAGCAAACAGAGCCTGTGAGAACAGGCTGAGCTCCGGGAAGACCTTCTCCAGCCTCCCGCCCCACACAGCTAGCCTGGAGCCCACCTCCCCCCGGTGGGCTCTTCCTAGCCATGGTTACTCCTCCCTATAGAAGAGAAAACCCCTCTCTGCCGAACCCTTGAGACACTTGTAGACGCATGCTCAGAGTATTCACCCTTCAGCAAG